TGCCATAGTTTACACGCTAATTTTTAATGAATCTTTTTTCCACAAATTTGTTACTAAATCGATCTGATTTCGATAATTTAAAAAAAAAAATTTAGCATGCTTGGCATACACAGTTGTACACACCAACTGCTCATTTGTTAATAACTTTACACAGAGTTGACGAAACATAGTTCTTTTCGAAGCAGTAGATAGAATACATTTTAAGCTTGTTATAAATACATAAAACAAAGTAGATTTTAATTCTACACAGTTCGAAAAAGTAGTGTAAATTTCTGTTCAATATGATGCACATAAATGGAGCGTCACATATCATATAAGTTTACATTATAAATCATGTAAAGTTCTGAGACATTTCATGCAATGTAGCAAATATTGTATACAAAAGCCCATCTTTGTAAACAACATTGTTTGCAAGTTGCTCGGTTGTGTGAAATGAAATACAAGTTTACGTCGATGAATGTTTGCATCACAATTAAAATTCAGAATTTTTATCTGTGTAGTAATAAACTGTATTTGATTTTGCGTTGTAAAAATGAAGTGAGAAATACTCGCTGCACATCTCGGACTTTAAGGGTTTCATTCATTGGTGTTGATTCAAATGTTATCTACTTTTTGCATATCTATAGTACACAGTTAAAATTATTTTGTAATTTTACACGAATTTCCATGCACATAAAAAGAGCATGCATATTCATGTAAAATTAAATTGGTTTTTAAATTTAAACGACTTGAACTTTACATGCATGTAAAATTAACGTCACTTGAATTTTACATGTATGGCTTTAGATGGGCTCACTTTGTAATTCTACAGGACATTTAGAATTACACGCATTTGGCTTTTTGAACGAATTTGCATGAAATCGAACTGATTGTCAAGTACGCGGAATTATCACCCACGTGGAATAACCCGCCTTTACGGCACAGTACATACCCTAAACTTCCACCGCTGCATCAAAACGATCAGTCAGGAGAAAAAAGGAACCACGAGCGCATTTTTGAATGTTTTTCTATTTTTTTCTGTATCCAAATTTTTGATTTTCTGCACGAACTAAAAGTGCTCTCTGTATAAAACACTTTAATTAATATTTTGTCTGTCTTCCATTTTCTATTTGCGGACGCGCGTATGCACGATAAATCGTTCCACATAACTAAAACTGAGCGCACAAAACAAAACAAACCGAGCGGAGAAAAAACTGATCGAATAATCGGTCTGTCCGCCATATTTGCTTTCTCAATGTTTGTTGATTAAAATTTACACGAGCATTATCGTTGAAAATTCGATATTTTTCCAAAAGGTTTTACATCGCATGGAGAAAATTAATCGAATAAACGTGTAATTTTATGAGTTTAATCATGCTCTTTTGAGGTGCATGATTTTTAATGTAAAAACAAATTTAAAAAAAACTGAGTAAAAAGTTATTAACAAATGAGCAGTTGGTGTGTATAACTGTGCATGCCAAGCATGATGCCAGGTATTTCAGTTTGTTTTTTATTTGTTTTTATATATATATTTTTTTTATTATAGTCACTTTAACACTCTTGGGTCATTCGTGACTTGTCCGGGGGTGAGATTTGAACTCGTGACTTTGGCGTGAGAGGTATGGATGTTAACCACTACGCCGGGGTCGCCCCCTTGTTTTTATATAAAATACCTCAAACATTGGTTTCTAGATGTAAATTACATTAAAAAAAAAACGTTTTAATACAAAGAGTTCAAAAATTTACCCAAAAGTTCTTGTTTTAAGATTTATGTTAATTTTTAAGTGCCCAAATATTAAACATTTCTAAATTTTGCATTTTTCCGAGATTTTTTTTTTTGTACAACAAAGATATTTCGAGATATAGGTTATTAAAAATTTTCCTAACAAAAATGTGAATCATTGCCCCATAACAAACAATTAGGGGGAAATGGTGTAAAACTTGCCGGCGGTGTAATACGCACCACCACGATTTTTCACCTAATAGACACTTTGTTTATTTTGGACATTTAAACTATTCTAATATACAAATTGACTATTTCTGCCCACAAAAACATTATAAAAATAAAAGTTTATTAGAGTACCGTTCGATGTAAGATTTGTTTATCGGTTTGTAAGCATAGGCAAACATAATAGCATGCCTAACATTTGATAAATGCATTTACCAGCTTCGTGAGGGAAGATGCATAAATGACGTAGCATAGAGTGACCAGTCATGTAGAAAAATACACCGTAAAACATCGTTAAACGTTTGTTTACGTTCATGAAGCACAAACTTTCGACCCCCTCCATCTTGTAGCTTATTTTTATACATAGCTGGTTACCCAAAAATGCAACGTCATTTATGCATCTTTCCTGATCTGTGTGAAAACAGAATGTTTTTCGATCACAAATCAGCATTTTTAATGTCCAAAGTTCTATGTTAAGGGTGGAACAATATACACCGTGTGGTTTGGTAACTCCTAAGCAGCCGTAGACATTTAAATTTATGTTATGAGTAGCGTGAAAGGGGAGTCCGTATCGATACGGCAACCAGAGTTGAAAAAATCACGAAAGAACTTTTGCATAATTGTTTACTATGAGCAATCATTCACATTTATGCAAAATTTCGGCCATTTTGGATGTTGTATTTTTTTCCCGAAATGGCGTCTTTGACATTTGTCAATAAAGTGTAGCACAAAAATGTTGCTTCTGAACGAAATTACGTCTGAGGCAAATTTTTTAAGAAAAGTAAAGTGTTTCTTGGAAAAATGTACACGGTAATTTTGTTTTAATAATTTTGAGTAAATATTTCAAGAAGTAGGGTAAATGGCTCTAATGTTGGCCAATGGATCTAAGATTGGGCCCATAGCTAAAAATCTGTGTCATTGGGACGGTACTCATGGATATTTTTGGTTGCTATTGAAAATTTAGTCGTTTGCTGAATTTATGTTTCGGCCCAAATTAGCGGCATTTAGGCCGACATTAAATCCATTTCCCCTAGATTTTTTTCTTTGCTGTCTGACTTGAAAACGCTCGATAGCGACCGGTAACGTCACCAAGCATAAACTTTGGCTCGTCAATTGGATCCAGTGCTTCCTGCAGTTGATTCTGAAGATCTGGGAGCTTACCGCCGGTTAGGTCTGACCAAAAAGTGAGTAGCAATCAAACGAAGACATTTGTTTGATTGACTGCTGTTTCCTTTTTGACAAGTTTTCGCTACTTGATAGGCACAGTGTGATGGAATGTGAATGAGTACTAAAATTTAGCGTTTGGTCTAAAAATCAATCGACCTAATGACTTAAGAATGTCGAATGGTTTATTTAGCTGAACTACGGCAATCGGGGAAAGGGTTAGTTTTTATGGTTGTTCATAGTATATTTACCGCTTATTGAATGGTAATATATTAATTTTTAGATATTGAAACCGACTTAAGTTTAAATTTTAAATCTGTTTCTTATTTATGTGTTTACGTTGTTATTTTATTATTATTTATCAGAAGGAATTCATTTTTATTCGATTATGTTGTGGTGAGTATTTTAAGTATTCAATCAAAAGGAGAAATGCGAGATAAAAATCGGAATATGAATAAAAATATTGCTTGACAAAAACATACAATCGAACAAAAAGCAACTTGGTTATGTTTGTTAGAATGTCAGAGGCGGACAAACTGATTCACTGATGACTGAGCTGTTATCTAGTTTTTTTTCTTTTCCTTTATAAGAGAGATTTCCAGCCGCAGGCTGGTTCGTCTTTTCTTATCTAGTGTCTGACCATTATCAATGCACGAAAGCCATATCATTTCCTAGCACCGTTCGGGCGCGACTCCGCGCAATTATCACGATCTTTAACAAAATTTTCAAAATATAACACCCCAGACTAGAACTAAAATGTAACGGAACAAATCCAACGAAACAAAAGCAACTCAAGAGAAGCGCCCAACAATTACAACAACCTTCATAACCAGCTACAGAAAGCCACCTAGAGATAACTGCTCCATTCAAATGGTTACCAACTCTACCAACAACCAACAAGATCATCGGTAGTAGAAACAAGTAGAGTTCCTTGTCCGAACCTAACCAAGGAAATACTGAGGCGGGTGTGCTTTTTTCAGCTGCTATATTTTGTGATTCCTAAATTTTGATGTGAACTCTACTTGAGATTTACCAAACAAATATAGTTATACTAATCAACACGATGCAACATTACTTTGATTTTTTTTTATTGTTGGCTTTGCCATTACCAAGATAGAATTTGAATCGTAAAAAATCAAGACAAACGAAGATAGAACAAACAAACATACCCTAAGAAGCTTTTCGTTTCGAAACTTAACTGAACAGGGAAAACAAAATATTTACAGAATTCGTGTACCAAAACGGGTTTAACCACCACCAAGTTCGGGGAGTCGAAGGGAAAGCCAACGCACCGAACAACAAAAAAAAAAGTAAGCCAATCGAATTTGTGGTTATTATATTATTATATTGACACAATCGCACCAATTTCAGTTTCATTTTTTCGACGAGCAATTTGCAGTATTTTTTTTCTTTTGGTAGACGAATTAAATAAAATTGCAGTGATGCAAGTAAAGAGGAGGGAACGAGAAACTAAAGAAGAAAAAAAATCCAAAGGTTCGAATCTTGAGGTAGGTTGCGAAAAAGGGGACGAGCCCAAGGCGAACAGAGGTGCCAAGGAAAATGAATGCGCAGAAACGAACACAATCGGACTGATGTGGAACGGAAAACGGTATGGGGATGATGATTAGAAAAATGATCTCTCGCGAACGATATGAATGAGCAGATATTCGGAAATCATAATTCGTGATTGCAAAATAAATAGTCCAATATGAGAGGGTATTTTATGAATAAAATAAGGACACAACAATGATGATTATAGACAATGACGCGTCCACTGTGGGGATACAGAAGTTTAAGAGCAACAGTGCAGTGCGCACGCACGGCCGATGACGATGATGATGGCGATGGCGACGGCGGGTTGATAATACGGGAAAATACTAGCTTGAACTGATAGTATCAGCTTACTCACCTGCTACCTGCTGCTGTTCCATGCCGGGATAGCATACACACTTGGCCGGATGGATCTCGAACAGATTGAACAGATCGGCCAGTAGGACCACCAGATTTTGCTTCATAGCTCTGTGTGCCAGATGGGGAAGGGGAAAATCGTTTGTTAAATTACTGCTCTAGATCTGTACGAGTACAGCTGCACTGGAAGTGATGGGGAAATCATATAAATAGAATGACTCACCCTCGCATGTAGGTTATGTCCTCTGGCGTCATGTGGAACACTGAGTATGGCAAACTTCGCTCGGAAAAATTACTAATTATGAGGATGTTGTGGATTGAGTCCTGCAAAAGAGCGGCATTATTGAAAGGCTAATGAAATCCATTTTCGGTTGCTTCTGATAGCAACAACTAGAACTCACCTCTATGGTTGGTACGTGGTTGAATTTAACAGTATGCCAAGGAACTAGTTTGGGACAGTAGTACGATATTAGATAGGCTAAACAGACTCCATCGCACAGCTCCCGGAAGTCTCGCATCGGTGCAACCGAAGGACTCTGCAGCCGTTGACCCTGTTGACGAATGAGAGAACACGATTCAAAAGAATTGCAAAACAATCACGGTGGTACAAATTAGTCAAAGCAGTAAAAAAAGAAACTCACGTATTCATCGACTGCAGGGCCACTGCCTCCAACGCCATTCGCCAGCTCGTAGTCGATGCGCCTTTTCAGCGCACTGCATACGTGCGAAATCCAGCTCAGTAAGGCAGCTTCGTGATGCTGAGCGCCTTGCGACACATTGCGGCCAGATATTCTGCAGATGAAGAGAAAACGTAAAAGACAGTCCAAATTAGTGGATTTTGATTCAATCAATTCTATTCAATTCACTGACGATGATGAAAAACGATTATCTTCATCCATAGAGTAGTCGTCATTAGCGATAGTTTGATCAATCACCCATTTCACTCATTCAGAGGCCAATCCCTCTCACATTAGCAAATAAAGATTACATTACGAACCCCGACAAGGTTGCCCGAGTCGTTTCATTATTCAAATTGTCACCCCACGCGCTCGTGTCCATTACAGCAGACCACCAGACAAATCAACTTCCCGGAATAGGTCATTCATTCATTCATCTGAATCGCTTCAATTTTAACCCCCACACGCTACCAGCCAGTCAGTCAGCCAGCCAGGTGTGTGCGTAGAAGATAATTCTGTTTATTTCTGCAAAAATGTCGTCATTGTCAATATGTGGAAACTTCTGATTCGGCGGTCAGTCACTGCCGCGGATGATACCGAAAGCATTCCTTTGTTCTTATCTGCTATGGCTGCTGCTGCTACTAGGAACTTGAAGTGGAAAAGAGCACACACGACTAAATTAAGGCAGGATCAGTTTACCAATTTGGCGGGTGCTATATGTAGACGACTCCCACGATGTTTGTTAGGGTTGGGGTTTCTTTTTTCAATTAATTCGAAATCGCATCATCGCACAATGGGATTTAAAAAAAAAAAAAACTTCCTTATTTTCGCACTAAACTTCCCGAAGAAAAATCGTGCCGTGAGCAACCACTTAGGCAGTCGATTTCTCATCAAAAAATTTATCTTTTAACGTTTAAATATCCCGTCATATCCAGCGGCAATTTGAGATATTGAATTGAATCCTTTTTTTTTGAAAAAAAAATCGCATCGCATAGTGCATCGCTTTCCATCATCTCCTATGAATGCGATTCCGTTTAAATAAGGAGGATGATTCGCATCGGATGACACATACGGATTGATGGGATAATTCATTAAAGATTGGATGAAATTAGTGATCAATATCGTTGATCCTGCATCCATCTTTGACATAAAGGATGAGACGTAAACAAACATGTCATGTAAAATTAAGTGCTCCGAGACTGAAAAGTTCAAAAGTACTAGCGAATTCGTTTATTATCAGGGTTGGAACCAGTTTTTAAAAACAAACGAGCAAACTGACGTTTGTCAGAAAACAGGCAGACCCTATCTTGATACCTGATCCAGGTTGTAATTGAATACTAAACGGATTTGCTATACGTTTGGTTGAGCTGACTTTCGCGTCTAATATGACTCAATTTTATGTCAAAATTGACGCTCGTATATGTCACTCAGAGCGTTTAAATTTACATTAATTTTTCTAAGTGTGTGGGTAATCCTAAATCCAACAAAGAATTCGCTGGTATGCAGCCTCAGGGTGGCCACTGAGCTTGAGCTTGAGCTTGATTGACCGTCCACGGTTGCTACTCTGTTACTGCCAGATCAGCTGTAATTACACAGAGAACCAATAGACGATGCTTGGGACTAGCAATCATCCTCAATGTGTAAAAACTGTTGATCTTAAATTAGGCAATATTAGCGCCGGCCGCGCCCGAACACAGGTCAAGAAAGGAATGGGAAGGATTGTGTTGACATGACACTCGCTTTGATGGAAGCCGAGAACACCTCTGCACTTCCACGAGGAATCACTGGGATGTTGAATAAGAGGGTTGGGTTTGCAGCAGGGTTCGTTTTGGTAAACGATAAGCTGAATTGATGTCCTAACGATCATATAACGCGAAGGAGCTTGGGACTAAACCCACGGTCTTCTGCTCAGTAAGCAAAAACGTTTGCCACTAGGCAGACGACCACCTTTTTAATCACCGAGTTGCTGTTATTACCATGTAGTCATATTAACAAATAAAACGATTGACGAATCTTGAATGTGGATGGGCCTGAGATTAGACTCATGATGTTCTGCTCAGTAAGCAAAAACGGTTGCTCTAAGGCCACCGAGCCCCTCATATCACATAATACCGTTACTCAAATTTGTGTATCCATTCAAACCCGGAACCAACGACAACAACGAGTTTCGCAAAATACACGATACACAAGCGATTTTACCATAAATCTCTTTGATATGTAAGGATCTGGGACCGCGTTTTTCTGTTCAGTAAGCAGGCCACTGTAACCGACGATCTTTCAAATCCGAAAACTAAAAACTACGAAAAAGTACTTAGGCCTTCATTAAGTTCCACTTTCACGCGACGTTCAATGACAGAGTCCTGTCCAGGATTACATCTGAAAAATCCAAATCTGGCCAACGCCCACCCTAAACCTAAACCTGTTCTAATCCATCTGAAATGACTAACGAATGGAAGACTTTGACTACCCAGCCATGCAATAGTCTCATTCCGAGCCTTATGGCAACTTGATGATTCTATTGCGCTCATCTTTTGGCACCACCCAGGGGAGACTTGGTCCTGTACCCAATGCTTAACTTATCTCCATTCCACTCTGCTACTCGCATTTTTTTTGTGATATAGTGGGCGAAATATTATTATATGAGACAATTCAATGCAGACGTCTTTCCAAATTTGGCAGATCGACAGGTAATCGGTGAGTTACCACGATAGTTGCTATTCAACAACTCGACAACGTCCCATCGTCAACGCCTGCTATGAGAATTTCCCATTGCAGACGCCAACGAAATGACGTCATCGAGCAATCGATCAACTACCCTGGTTATCGCCTGGTACCTTATAGCACGATGCTAGGAGGCGAACCGGAAGAATCGATGATCTACCTCTCCCCCTGCAGCCTCAGGGTGGCCACTGAATTTAAAAAAAAATCCCAGGTTTTTCCCGACCGGGACCAAATAAATTTCAGGATGCACATGGGCCGGGACCAACGGCTTCACTTCCCTTCCGAAGAAAGACGTGACTAGCGATTTTAATTTTCAGAAAAATCCCACCGACCTCAGCTGAGTTTGAATCCAGACCCATTGGGATGAGAAAGCAGTCACGCTAAACACTACACCACCGGCGCCGGATAAACGATCGATGATCTATGTAGTGTTAAAAAAAACCATGATAACTGGTGGTCATATTGAATACCCGGGACCCATAGACCACATCAGAACACATTCCTGGCGTTTCGAGGAAGTGGTCCGTACCTTCCTCCTAGTATAAATAGGAGCTATCATGAGATATATCAAATATTATATATAGAATGCTCAGGGTGGATGCTGGATTATTGGGCCAAAGGTCAGTAGGCCAAATGGCCATTAGGTTGTAAGGTCAGGTCAGTAGTACGAACGGTCATTTGACCAAATGGTCATTAGGCCAAATTCCGGAAAATTATTTCCTAACACTTGCGAAGAAAATTTGCTGGTTTGAAAAGGAGAATAACCAGCAAATAATTGAAGGATAACTAAAGCTATTCCATATTGAACTCAAATCGCCACTAATTATTCCGTCTCATGTCAGGAAGAAGAAGAAGAAAAAAACTACTATAGAAATTCAGGGTATATGCTACCTGGAATTCTTATTCAAGTTCTAAAATATGGATATTTTTCACAAATTTTAATTTTGAACATTATTTTTTTTAATTCAAATGTGTCCGGCCATTTGGCCGAATACTTGAAAAGTTCATTGGAGTTTTGTTGTTCTAATTATTTTTGGCACAGTAATTTCAGCGTGTCATAAAATTTAGATAAACAAGAAAATAGAAGATTCTTCCTCCTTCTAAAAAAGCAAAATTCTTCGATTGACGGTTTAGCGACTTTGCAGTCAGTTTAAATGTTTATAAGAAATTTGACCATACTGAGAGGTAAGCACATATCATCGGTAAGAGACGTGTGTTTGAGAAAATTTTGCGAAAAAATCTAAGGACACCGGTGGGATTCGAACCCACAATTCTCATTCAGTACTACACGGGTGCATTGCCAATTGATCAATTTAGATGGTCAAGTTTTGAACCCATCACATCATGCTTTCGGCGCTACTGTATATGGACGAGCAAATGTAAAATACTGTGGTAGCCACAGCATAGTTCTGTCAAAACCTATGCTTTTTCGTTGATCCATTATACAACGGTGGGCCTATATGGTATATTCCCACCCTAGTCTGTGTTTGTTCACATCGACTGATACTGAGTGGTTGCGGTACAAGCACATATCGTCAATAATAGACGATTTTTGTGTATTCGAGAACGGATTCGAAACTCAAATGGCGATCGATGCTGTCAAAAATAGGGATTTTAGTGACTATGTTGAAGAAATAAGTGACCAAACAGTGACTTATAATTGTAAAACAGTGACTAAAAAGTGACCTTAGGGAAGAAAATTAGTCGTTCTGATTAGACTTCTCCAATAAAATTCTCATAAACACTTAAATATGTACGATAAGAACCTTTAAAGCGAAAGATTCAACAGAAAGTTTATGACTAAACCTCCAAGCTAAAAAAACCCGAAAAACCGGAAATTCACAGGGAATTTTATTTTTCCTGAAAATACCTGGAAGTATCAGGGAATCTTATCATTACTCAGGAAATTTAATAATTTTCTTACTAAGAATGCATTTTAAAATAAAAACATTTAATATTTCTAGTTATTTTCCTTCACACATTGAACTTTATAGATCCAGAATGGATTAATCTTCAGTAACAAATACCTTTTTTAAATTCAGATAACTTTATTAACGAGCTCAATACTTCTGGACTTATGTGAAAACCTCAATAATTTTCTTAACATCTCTAAAGCAGGCCTGGGTTCAATCCCAGTCGGCGCCGCCGGGATGTTCTGAGGCATAACATCTCTGATCACGCCTTCCTTCGGATGGGAAGTAAAGCCGTTGGTCCCCGGTTCATGAGTTGATGGGTCGATAGGTAGGGTCCAGGTATGGGAGCTGCCTTCCTGGAACGACGGTAGCATTGGTGCTCAGCACGGAAAACAAGATCGACGAAAAAAAACAAACCGAAGGAAAAAAAAAAAAGTTCTCTGAAAATCTGGGAACTTCTTGAAATTTAAATTTAGTTAAA